TTCTCTTGTGGTGTCACATGCATTTCTTCCTGGTTTTACCTTAGGTTGATGAAGAAAGTGAGGCACAGAGAGGGAAAGGACTTCTTCGAAGTCTTAGAGCTAGGGTCTGAATCAACTTGCTTTTGTGAGCTTCATCATTATGATTTTAGGAGTAAAATGTCTACAAGTCACACTGATGTTGAATTTTCCTCAGATTGTTTTGAGTTCTGTCAAGTTAGCTAGCCAGCCATAAGCAAAAAATACTTATTTCTATCTTGTCTACAAAGAACTTTTCCTGAGGCCTATGTGCCTATGTCTGCATTCTTCCACAAAAGGGTAGTAACAAGGATTAGCATTTGAAATAAGGTGTGTGTGTGTCTGTGTGTGTGTGTGTGTGTGTGTGTTCACTACATACTAGTAGCACAGAAAATGATGACATTTTAGTTTTTATATTGTATAGTCTGTACCAAGCTTTGGCAAGCAAGAGTTATAGGTGAAATCTCATTTATTACCTGTTTTGCAAATAAAGTCAATGTCACAGACCACATAAAGCCAACCCAAGTTCTATGTGGCTCTTTACTGCAAAGGTCTTTTGAGAGTGTAGTACTATCCATTATTATTAGTCATTAGTTTTATGTTGCTTAGGCACACTTGAAATATGACTGACATGTATGAGTTAATATTCCAAAGACTTAGCCAAAAGAAGGAAAAAATAGTATAAAACATTCCATCAATGGTGATATTCTGAAACAATGTCATTAAGTTTAGTTGTAAAACTTTTACTATTAGAAATTTTAAAATGTGACTCAGATGTGTGTCTCACATTAGATTTTTTGTCGACAGTGTCACTCTAGAACCTGGAATTTGGAGGCTCTGTGACCTTTAAAAACAGAAAAGCAAGATGATAGTTGAGGGGAAAGAGACAATTTGCAAATACCTTTCTAAAGCAATGAATTATCATTTTCATTCCTTATCAAAAGAAATAATACCCAAATGTATTAAGATGTCCATAGAAACAATTGTAGTTCTCAGGTTCCCAGAAGCAGAGTCTGACTGAGAGTTTGAACTGGGATATGATCCGTAAAGCACAACAAGGAAAGAGGAAAGAGAACATGTCAGTGAGCATGCTATTGCTATGGATCCAGACATTCCTACCCAGTGAGGCTATAGGGGAGTTTTTATAAACTGAGACTCAGAGTGGTCCCATCCAGAAGATAAAGGAACTGTAACATATGTCTAGTAATTACAAGTATTTTCTGGTAGAGAACTGATTCTAGGGGCGTCAGTTTCTCTCAGGTTTCCACAGAACCACAGTTTGCCTTTCCTGGGTCCAGATACATCCCTGAGACAGAGGATCACAGATGCATGCAAGAAAGAGAAAAAAAGCCATCAGCAAACTTGATAATAATTGCCACTGGAGGAATCATTATTACAGTATTGTTGTAAGAACAAGCTGAATGATTCTTTCCTTCAATCAACAACTGTAGCTTCCTGCTGTGTATGTTCCTCTTTTTCATATGAACTTAGTGATGGCATAGATAGGTGGGTTGACCATTATCCTCATGTTATGTACAGGAAATTGAACTAAAGATATATCTACTGATTTTCTCATTTGGAATGGTAGCTCACACCTCTTCATGATCATAAATGATCGCCTATACTTTAGGTTTCTCTCAAACTTGGCTTGACCAGAATATGAAAAAAATATTGGTGGTATTAAGGTGACAACAGAAAGCTAAGACTATTTTTTATATTCCATTGACTATTAAATATACATAAAGAAGCAGGCATTACATAGGGAAGTTTTGCTTTGTTTTGAGTCAGGGTTTCATGCAGCTAAGAATGACCTTGAACTACTGATCTCCTGCCTTCACCTCTCAGGTGCTGTAGGTTCAAGACTCTTACACTGAAAAATGTTATCTCTTTTTCCCACAAAGCACAGTCAAAATTAGGAGGTTAAAAAGATACCACCCCACAGGATGTTATTGACAAAGATAAATTCCAGAAAATCTCCAGGGAAGTCCCTGTACTGGAGGCTTACAGATGCATGGCTTAGTGAAGACTGGATTTTATTACTATGCCCATGTTCTCTCAAAAGCGTTGTCATCCCCTTTGGTACTACCTGGAAAAAAATCTTTCTCCCAGCTGAACTTCCCTTTATTGTATTTTTAACTACCTCAGTAATTCTTTCTGGACCTTACTAACACTTCTACTTTTTAAATTTGAATAACCCCAAAGGACCTGGGTTGGTCAAAGTGCTTAAACCACAGGCTTTAGTTTTTGTATCAGTTGATTAAAAACAGATTTTATGCATGAGTTCTACTTAATAATAGGAGGGGGAGCAAGCAGATGTTTGTAAAATCTGAATGTGTTGGATCACATTTGTTTGGTTTTCTTACTGACTAGATTTAGAAAAGCCATACTTATGACAATTGAACTGCAAACAGTTAGATGATGTATTTCCCTAGAAATTTCCTGCCATGAATGGTCAGCCAAGAAGAAAACTAAAAGGATTCTCTAAGATTAACACACTAAAAATGCTGACAAATTCACCTTACAACAGTCATATCTAAATCAAAGACACTGAGTAATGGAATGTCTAATTTCAAGACTGAGTCTCTGATTCTAAAGTCATTACTGGTGCCATTCATTTACTACAACTATTAGAAATACTGTGTGTGTGTATGTATGTGTGTGTGTGTGTAGGATTCATTTGAAAACAATCAGGTTGTGCCTAAACTGCTGTTAGTTTCACTCTAAAATGTCTTCAACTGTATATACCCAAGCTTAACCATGAGTGGGATAATATCAAGGTCCGGGTATGGAATGAGGGGAGTGGTGAGGGGAGACGAAAACTTGACTACTCCCAGGAAGTGGGAATGAAGAGCAGTGGGGATATAGGGAACACTCACAGGAGTGTACACTTCTTATAAAAAAAAAAGCCTCACACCGCTGAAAGCAAAGATTCCTCATGAACACACTTGGCTCACAGGACACCTCACACCTTCTCTGGAATTGAAGCCAGACATGGAAATCACATGGAAGGAAACAAGGCACCAAGCCAACATAGGATTTGTGCCTCATTCTAACATAGGTGCCTTGTGAGAGTACAGGCACAGAACAAGTCCTAAACTTGGAGTATGTACCTCCCCTGGTTAGGCTACATTAATACTCAAATCACAACACCGAGAACCAAAGTTCATAGCAGATGAACTGTCAGAGAAAAAATACAAGACACAAGCTAAACTCATATTCTTGGGAAATCCTAAGCAAACTTCAGGAGATGTGGACCTTTTCTTTCCCAATAGCGCTTAAGAATAAGTATGTTTAGCTTTCTCAGAATTATGAGGGGAATTGCATTCTTGGAAGAAGAATACAAAATACTTTAACAAGAAAAGGTTACATGATGAAGAACCTACTGGAAACAAAAATGTGCTCATTATAGAAATCACTATGCAAGCTTGGTATGGTGGCTCACACTTGTAGTCCAAGAATGTGAGATGCTTAGTCAGGGGGAGGCAGAGTTTGAGGACAGCCTGGGCTGCAAAGCAAGTCTGTGTTTCAAACAAACAAATAAATAAAAATCCCCAAACTTAAGCAAGACGATTAATGCCGGATTAATTAATTGAATTCATTAAAAACAGATTTCTACTTCTGACACACTCACATTAAATGTAAGTTGCAAATAATTCTCTCTCTTAATACATGTTTCTAAGTGAAAAGTTTAGGTAAATGGGCTAAATTTTTTCATCAATTCTAAGGTGAAATGGTTTTTTGTTGTTGCTTATTTTTCTTTGGTTTGATAGAGTCCAGTGCCTTGCTAGGCAAGTGCTCTACTACTAAGCCATAGCCACAGTCACTAAGCCTTCTATTGCTAGATGGCATTACAAATCTGAAGTCTTTTATATCTTGTTCACGGAATTTCCCGTTATGCCATGTTTTTGCTGTGTTTCATTCCTTTCATTCCTCCTTGATCTTGTCATATCATCCCTGCTTATGGAGGATTCTTCTCCATGATTGGGGCCACCTGTGTCTCATCTTCTAAGAACTTGACACTGTTATGAAACAAAAACTTCATCTTTGTGCTTCTATCCTCAGCTGAAAGAATTCATCATCTTGGACACCTTTAGGTCGCTCTCACCTCTCCCCTATCCTTCATTTCTAGTCCTCCTGTCTCCCAGTTACATGGCCATCTTCCTGTGATCAGGAAATGGGACGTTTTATTTTTATGCCCATAGCATCTCTTACATTTACTAAACTCTTAATACATATTTGTGAATATTTGTGAATAGAATATATAATAAGTGAATGGGAAGTTTAAATGGAGAACACATGGAACAAGGAGGAATGGAGACATTTTAATGACTCTGACTCAGAGCACATGGTCAAAAATATGATTATTTAATCCAGGAAACTTTAAATTTGATGCTTTTAAAGAATGGTCCTATATTGAGATGCATAATTATGTGATATGATATTCAAGGACATTTGCACAGATAGGGAGAAAAATAGAAACAAAGGATAACATATTATGACTGGAACATATGAGATATATATCATGTGTGACAAGAACTCCTTAAAAATTTTATAAGTTGCAATATTTTTAACCATATCTGGTCAATTCAAACCTGCTTTGAAAAGATTAACCTCATCCTAATTATAAATTGGTAAATCTCAAAATGCTGAAATTAACCTATATATTATTATCATTTCTGACTCAGACAAAGGTATAACTATTTACTTTCTCCAGAGTTCTCTAACAAGAACTTCTGACTAAATTCTAATTAAATGAGGTAACATAGTAAACATGAATAGAAACATAAAATTTTAATATTTCTAGAAGAATCTTTGAAATACAACTTTTGAAAAATCTAGTTTAAATTGATTGGAATCTCAAAAAGAATTAATAGCATGAATACCTCGGAAAAATCAATCCTTTTTCTGAGGATTAATAATTTTGTACATACTAAAGTAGAAAAATATGCAGAATAACATTTCTCTCTCTTTTTTTTTTTAAACAGCAAAATTTGGAGAGTAATCTCACCAATCTTATTAAGAGAAACACAGAACTGGAGACCCTTTTGGCTAAGCTCATCCAAACTTGTCAACATGTTGAAGTGAGTATTCGGTACCTACCTTCATTATATATCTCAGATGAAAAGAGTTAGCTTGAACTTTTGCTGTCCACTCAATTCTATATTTTAAAGAAGAAATCTTTCTTGGGGCTAGAGAAGTGGCTCAACTCTTAAGAGCACCTTCCAAGTCAGGTATCATATAATCTCTTACAATTCTGGCTCCAGAGATCAAATATTTAATATTTCTCAATATTAAATATTTGACAGAAGCCAAACATATACAACAGATGAAACTGGAAGGAACTAGAAGTTTAGAGACTTCAATATCCAGGGGTGCTGTATCCCTATCTTCTGAATTGAATATTGTGTGCCATTCCTAATATTGTAGATTTTAATCACCCTCACAACAGCCCCCCCCACCAAAACACAATTTTGAAAGTGCTTTGTACGTTTACTAGGGCTGCCATCAAAACAGGCACAAGTTGAGGGCCATGTCAATTGTGAATATTTACTTTGCTTTCTGTACTAGAGTCATGTCTCTTTCTCTAAGTCAAAATATTTTATCAGTAATCTTTCAATGAGTTTTAAAAGCAATATTTAGCATATTGGTTCCATCTTTTCCAATTAGAATGTGAAGTATTTGAAAATAGAATTAAATGTAATTTATCATTGAGTTTCAGGCTGGTACATTTATTTTGAAACAGAAGCAAAAGATCCGTCTTTCTGTATGTTATTTTTTATGTATCTATTGGTTAAAAGATCCATTTAGAGTAAGAAAAGAATCTCAAGAAAATTATTCTGAACAGATATGCATAATGCATATCTACTCAGCTAATTAGAACTTTGAATGCTTACAAGTACATCCATCCCTAATAATCATGTTTAAAGAAACTATGTTTACTTTTTTCAGACTCATCAAAGTGCATTTATATATTTGTACATATACATATTCATACTTAAATGTGCATATAGCAATAATAATCAAAGAAAAATAAGTTATTAGCTTGAGAGCTGGGGACCATGAAGTGACTGGAGGGAGGATACCTGAGAGGGGCTAGAGAAAATAAGGGTAGAGGAAAATGATGTAATTCTCTTTCAATTAAAATATATATATTTAAAACATATGAACAAAACCCTAGCACCATGAAATGTATTAATTATCATGTCCACTACACAGTCAGAAGTACTAGACTTCAATGACACAGAAAAAAATAAAACTGTGGGAAACCAACCAGAGAAAATTACTCTTGAGACAATTCAGAACCTCGAATTATGAGAGAAATTATTAAACCTGAATATGTGAAAATTGATCATTTTTACAACTTACCCACTATTCAGCAGCATTCAGTACATTTTTAATGTTGTATATTTACTCAACACTACATCCAAAAAGTTCCCATCATTCTAAACACATTTGGTTTTGTTAAAAAAATATTATTCTAAGTGAAATGAGCCAAACATAAAAGGATAAAGTTTATATAACTTTAACTTTATTTTACGTACTTGAAATAGGAAAATTCAGGGATTAGCATAGAGATTACCAGGGACTGGGATGCAGAAAACCAGAGAGATATTTAATGTGTTTATTTTTGCAGTATACAAATATATGAACTAACTACTCTCAAAATAACGATGTTTTGTGGTCATTTTTAATCTTCTCTAATCAGTAATTATAACACATGGTCTTATGTGCACAGAGCTATGAAAGTAGATTCAGAATATAGTAAAAGATGAATAATAAAAATCATAACATTTTGGTTCTCTACAGTTTCAGATAAAAGCACAATTGAAGAACAGCAGAGCAGCCAATCAGACACTGATCTCATAGAATGTAGCTTTTTAAAATTAATTAATTGGTTAATTAATTAATTTTGCATTACCTCTCTCCTACTTCCTAGTCTTTCCCACCCACCTACCTCCCTTTCCCCTTCAACTAATAAGACTAGGCATATCTACTTGTATTAAGGCTAGATGAGGCTGCCCAATTAGGAGAAAGTGTCCCAAAGGCAGGCAACAGAGTCAGAGACAGACCCTGTTCCTGCTGTTAGGAAACTAAGCTACACAACTGTTACACATGTGCAAAAGGCCTACTTCAGCCTTATTCATGTTCTGTGGTTGGAAGTTCAGTCTTTGTGAGACCTATAGGGCCAGGTTATTTGATTCTGTAGTTCTTCTTGTGTTGTCCTTCACTCCCCACCCCACTGGCTTTTACAATCCTTCCTCTCCCTCTTCCATAGAATTCTCTGAACTCTGCCTAATGTTTGGCTGTGGGTTTCTGTTTCCATCAGTTGCTGGGCGAAGCCTCTCTGATAACAGTTATGCTAAATTCCTGTCTGCAAATATAGCAGAATATCATTAAGAGTGTCAGGTGTGGAGTCCCTCTCATGGCAAGGATCTCAAGCTGGACCCTTATTATTGCTTGACAATTCCCTTAATTCCTGCTCTTCAATTTCCCCTGCACATTTTGTAGGCAGGGCAAATTGTATGCCCTACTATAAAGGTTTTGTGACTAGATCGGTGTTCCAATCTCTCCATTGGAAGTCTTGCCTGGTTACAGGAGATGGTCCGTTCTGGCTCCATATTCTGAATTGTTAGGAGTCTAGCTAGGATCACCTTCAATTAGCGTTTGTTTTCATTCCTACTGGTACATAAAATGTAACATAGACTTTTTTTATATCCTAGATTAGTGAATATGTTACAGGGAAGAGAATGAACTTTAAAAATCTTTTTAATGTGATATGACATGATATGATGTAACAAAAATTCCATTGGACAAGGAAAAGAGAAGAAAGAGATTCTAAGAGATGGCACAAGAGTCAGATGCTAACTGGATCTCACACACAGTAATCCCATAAAAAATTAAACTGGACTGGACTCCATACTATATATACACAGAAGACCTGATGCAGGCCCTGTGTATGCTGCTTCAGTCTCTGTGATTTCATATAAGCTTTGACCATATTGATTTAGGTTAGTGCTTCTCATCCTGTGGGTCAAGACCTCTTCAAGGGTCATATATAAAAAATCTTGCATATTGTATATTTATATTACAGTTCATAAGCATAGAAAATAACAGTTATGAAATGAGTATAGCGGAATCATTTTATTGTTACACTTTTTTTTAAGAACAGGTCTAGTCTCTGGTTCTTGGTCACACAAGTATTGTGTGGGTTCCCTCCCATAGGGTTATATATGGGTTATATATGGGTTCCCTCTCATAGAGCAGGCCTTAAGTCAAATCAGATATTGATTGGTTACGCCCACAAGCTTTGTGTCACCATTGACCTATCACATCTTGTAATCAGGACACCATGGTAGATCAAAGGGTTTTTGGTTGGGCTGGTTTACATTTTTCTTTTGGAAGTATGCAGAGTGTCTGCTTGTATCAAAGATGCTAGAACATAGAAGTGAAGGCTCTCTGTAGGCACCAGCTAACCTTCTTCATATTTAATGAGTTGTATAGGTGTTGCCTTCAACAATGGAGCCTTGTCAATTTTTGGAAAGCACTCTGGGTTGTTTAGAGATTCCCATGGGACTCTTCTGGCTAAGAATTCATTTGGATATATCCCAATTGTGTGGTACTTGAAGCTTCATCTGATGGGCAGAGATGGCCAGTTGAGATTCTATTTCTTCAATTTTTTGGCAAATTCATGTAGATTGCCTTTATATATGCATATATTCTAGGAAGCTTCTTCTGTTTTAACTAGGTTCCCATATTGTCCTTTATATATTCCTAATTTTAGCTGTCTCTCCCCATTTTTCCTCACTTGGAATTTAAGTAAGGAAGAAAGAAGTGGGGACCAAAGAAATGGCCCAGGCATTAAAGTGTTTGACTTACAAGCATAAGGACCAAAATTTGTTTCCTAGAAACTAGGTTTATAAAACAAATCACTAGTCAGGGTGGTATGCATGCTTATATTCTCTGAGCCAAGGAGGTAGAGTGCACACACATGAACACACATAAAGGGGAAAGGGGGTACAAGTTGCCTGAAAGCTTATGGGGTTTAATGAGTAGTCAGGACCTGAACATGTCTTACAGATTTAGAAGTACTGGATTTGGGACTATCAGCTTATTTTATGTCATTCAATGGTGTTTATGACAGTATATTCTCCAGCACAATAAAGCTAAGCTTTCAGATACACTCAGCTTAAAAGCTTCTCTATTGTGTAAATATCAGAGATTTAGTATAAGGCTTAAAATATTTTGTGTTCACAAAAGTTGTGCTTTTACTTATAAGCCCCCTCTTCATGATAGGAAATTTAAAACTGGTTACTGAGAAGCAAGTCTGTCGGCAAATTTTTCAAGCTTGAAATTTGTTATGTGTTCCTGCAGTAGTGTTTAGGGCTAAGAACAGTGATTGTTTTCCTTTCCTAAACCATCCATTTCAACTGTTCATCATTTAAGTGCTGATGAGTATGGTATAATAGAGAAAGGATAGTTAGAGAATGAAGTAACATGGAAGTTGAAAGGATTGGCTCTTGAGTTCATGCCACAAACCCCTTCCTTTTGGTACTTAATGATACTTCTGCCTGTCTTTTATGCTGTTAGATGCCTTGACCTTTCTAACCTACTGAAACTGAATTTGTGTGTGCCTTGTTGATTAAACAATATGGAAGATGCATAATGATTTCATTATTTCAGAACAAAGAGAATACGTATTATATGAATAAAAGGATGAACAAAATAGAATGATACATGTGCCATATTTTATTTTTATGTTGTTATGGTGCTTGATATTTGAAATAATAAGAAAGAATTGTTTCTCTTTAGCAAAAAACAAATCACCTGTGCTTTATGTTAAGTCCTATAAATGGTTTATGTACTGGGTGATTATTTCATTCCATTTCAGCAAGTTACTTCTCAAAGCATTAGAGTCTGGTTTGCATTATGGCTGGTAATAATTTCAGAACAAATGCAATGTTCTCAATGCAATTTTAGTATGACTTGGATTTACAAAACGTTATTCGTTGTAGTGTGATGTAAAATTACATTCTATCATGTTTAGTAATTTTCAGATAGGAGATAAATTCAAGAATTACCA